AATAACAGCCATTTTTATCTCTTATAGGTAAAAACAATAGGAACCATTAAAATCACGTGATAAAGAAAAGGAGACAATAAGTGGTTTCATTTTATATAGATAAATAATATATTGACTCCACATAATATAATGATAAATACTACATGAACTTAATTAATTTTGAAGCTTACATGTACAAAATGTAATTATGGTGATAACAAAGACTTACATATGTGACTTTTTGAAGGTATCTATTTTCGAAGCAAAAATTATTGGAGTTGTTAATTCATGTTGAGAGGATTTCCAGAATGTGGTGGATAGAACTTTATCTAGAGGAAGAAATCATCATTAGACATGTTTTTAACGCTTTTCTTTCATTAATTTAACGAAGATTTGAATAAAAATGATAAAGTTATAAAAAACAATACTTTAAACCAAAGAAAATAATTCTTAGTTTTTCGGGTCACAATCGGGAAAAAAATGTGACTGGCAGGTATTTTATACCCTGTTATGATTATACCTGGATCATATAGTGTTTATCATGTCTGTCTTTAGTCCTTTTCATCTAGCTGTCCTCCCGTCTTTTTGTCTTCCGCAAACTTTGTTTAGCTGATGTCCAAAGAAACATCATGCAATTAAGCAATATAGATTGAATGTAACCATTCATTTTTTCTTATTAAACACTTCCTTAAGAATTAAATAGACTATATATAAATGAATATGCATTTAGCTACTGAGAGAAAGGTTCAAGTGGACATTTCTGATCACCGTTGTCCGACTTCCGTCTGCCTGTCGTTTGTTTGTTTGTTGTTTAACATCCCTCTTGAGAATTTTTCACTCATATTGAGACGCCACCACTTGCCAGTGGAGAACTTCAAATTTTGACCTATGCTCGTCTCTCAAGGCCATTGACCAGTGAGGGATCTTTTTCGTGCCAGCATCTACTGCGAAATGGGGCCTTGGTTTATACAGTCTCATCCGAAGGTCCGGTCTACATGTCTCACAGTCTCACGGTGGGATTCGAACACGCGACGTAAGGATCAACTCCTTACTCCGCGACTCTAAAGCAGACGCTCTACCACTGCGCCACTCTGCCTGACGCATGTCGTATTAAACTTTTCATACTTTTCGATATCTTTTCAAGAACCACTCACCCAATTTTAACTTAACTTGCTACAAAGCACCCATGGGTGAAGGGGATTCAAGTTTGTTCAGTTGAAAGGGCCACACCCTCTTCAAGGGGAAATAATTCAGAATTAGTAAAAATTTACATACATCTTTTAAAAATCTTCTCAGGACCGGAAAAGATGAAACTTTCGTGGAGACTTTATAACTAACAGCGTGTAATTTCAAATATGTTCAAATAATAACTCTTGGAGATTGGACAGAAACACAGTAAATTTTACATAAGAATATGTATTGAAAATCTTCTCAAGAAGAACAAAGCCATTTAGTTATAGTGGGGAAAACATCTTCTTAAGCCATATCTAGATTGATAAATATCAGTTATTCTCAGTTAATGTAGATTCAGCTTGTTCAAATCAATTTTATGTGGGTGTGGTAGTGGGTGTGAGAGGGGAGGTAGGTAGACTGCACACGTATATAAACATTTACAAAGAACTGCAAACGAAAGTATCGTTCTGCCGCCTATCTCTAACCCAACTTTCAAAAGTTAATATATTTGAATGATTTTTCATTTTCATGTAGATATTTATATGGATTTTTACAAAACATAGTTTTTGTGAGAACAAAAAGAGATAATTTTTGTAAAACTTGTGATTTTTGCTATGGAAATCAATAAAAAAATGAAAATATTTTTAAGTCACCTTTCCCCCCTAAAACAAAAATTTCATTTCTACAGGTATTACAAATATTATTTATCAACTTCATGCCACGCCTTTAGTTTTTTCACGGAGGGAACATAGGTTTACAGACAAAAACCAACAAAAGGCTCTTTTTTCAACATATTTCAAAGGTGTTTACAACTAAAACACTGTATTTTATCAATCATATATGTTTAATTTCAAATGCGTTAAACATTAGAAAAGATTAAAGGAACACTATCCATATCCAATATATTTTAACGTTCCAATAAAAGACATCGTCTATCACCCCTATCAGAAGAGTTAATTATGAGTAATTAATTGTTTTACACTTGTATTAAAATTTTCATTAAATTATCATTGAACTCCTCTTTGCATTTAACAAAGATTTTATGGCCATATTGCGTTGTATTTGATTAATTGGGTGTAAAATGTAGCTGGGATTGAGAATAACTTGCATAGTTCCTTACATTGTTTGTAGATTTTTATGAGATACCTTCACTTTGTCACTGAATTATGAAATGATTTCAGCTTTTCTCGAGCCAAAGAATTCAGGTGAGTGATGTGGCCCATGGGTCTCTTGTTTTATTGATATTGTTTTATTTATTGTTCAACCAAGCCTCTATCTTTACTCCTCACTAAGATATTAACAGTGGTACCCAGTTGCAATGTATAGTGATAAAATTGTTCATAAAAGATATTTTTTGTTGTAGAAAGTGTAAAAATGGTTATATTTTCATCTTTATCAAGAAAAGTTAAGTTTTTGTGCATGTTTTCATGTTATTTATGTTGTTTGTTTGTTTATTCCATTGTTAATTGTTTATTTGTCGATGTTTTAATTGGGAAAGGCCTTCTATGTTAGTAGTGAAGGAGAAACTTCAAGAGTACTGTGCAACAATATATTTGAGAAGTGGTGTAAATCAGATGTGAATACTTAAAAATTCTAAGGAACTTTTGGAAAATTTGAAATCACAAGATTTTACCAAAATCAACAGCTTAAAAACTTACGACTTTTCAACTTTGTACACAACCATTCCCCACGATCAATTAAAGTCCAGGCTTTTTCATATCATTGACAGCTGCTTTTTCAATAAAAATGGAACTCGTAAATATACTTACCTTGTCATTGGTCATTTGCAAAATTATTTTGTCAAAAAACATTCTGATTGTTCACATAAGTACTCTGAAGTTGACATTAAAAGGATGCTTGAGTTTCTGATTGACAATATCTATGTGGTTTTTGAAGACCAGGTCTTCCAACAATCTATTGGAATTCCCATGGGTACCAATTGCGCCCCGTTATTAGCAGACCTTTTTTGTATTCATATGAAGCAGAATTTGTCCAAAATCTTGTACGTGAAAAGAAGAAAACACTTGCTGTGGCCTTCAACTCGACATTTAGATATATCGACAACGTATTGTCAATTAACAATGGCTATTTCCATTCTCATGTCGATACGATATATCCTTGTGAACTTGAGATAAAAGATACCACAGAGTCTGACACATCTGTTTCATATTTGGATATTTTACTTGAAAAAGACGTTAATGGTAATCTAACAACCAAGCTTTATGATAAACGTGATGACTTTAACTTTTCAATCGTCATCTTCCCTTACTTATGCAGCAATATACCTTCATCACCTGCATACGGGGTATATATCTCTCAGTTGATTCGATACGCAAGAGCATGCTCTACATATGTACAATTTCTAAAACGAGGTAAATTATTGACAAATAAGTTGATGAAACAAGAATATCAGCTGTCTCGTTTAAAGTCATCATTTCGTAAGTTCTATGGTCGATACAATGACCTTGTCAGCAAATACAATTTATCATTGAATCAAATGCTGACTGACGTTTTTCACACTAATTGTTAGGCCATTATTTACACACTGAATTGTCGATGGATTTTTCCGTGATTTCCCGATCCTGACAAGGAGCACACGGCGGGTGTGACCGGTCGGCAGGGGATGCTCACTCCTCCATGGCACCTGATCCCACCTCTGATGTTTGGAGGTCCGTGTTTGCTCTGCTCCAATTTTGTATTGATTAATGGACTTTTGGGCTTGAATACTGTTCGTTATCTCCATATATTTCACGATATAAAATGGTTTGGGATAGTTTACTTTATAAACTGTGAAATGTATAATGTCTAGAACTATATATTACATTTCAATTTCATGTAGATACGTTTAACTATCAAAATGTCTTTTTAATTTATAATGTCAGAGATTTTCTAATGCTGCTCTTTTTTTATATTATGATTAGATTTCCATTTCACCAACCAAAGTCTCCACACAATGTAAAGAATCAGCACCACGTATAAGGTACCATTGTGTTTTTCAGGAAGGGGGTTCACATAATTCTATTTTAGTATTTAGTATCACGCATCAGGTACAATTTCGTTCTTGAGGAGGGGGGTCACATAATTCTGTAAGGATTTAGTACCACGTATAATGTACAAGTGTGTTCTTGGTGGTGGTGGTGGTGGTGAGGGGGGGGGGGGGACTATACATTCTTGTTCTAGTGGGCACAGAACTCTGTAAAATTTAAGCACTTGCATGTTAAGTATTTGTTACAAATATGATTTCTTGTACTTGTGGGTACAGATTCCTAATAATTTGTACACTGGGGCTAAAGTATTTTATAAATATGATCTAGTGTACAGTGTAAAAAAGATTTTGTTATTGATGAATTTTATAAATCATATTGATCCAGTTTCAGACTATTTTGATTATGTTGCAAATCTTGCATTTTCACGAGTATCTTACTTGTGGTATTGTACCTTCATGATAAATATGTTTTATATTCTTTCATATCACAATATACTTTAATATTTATATGTAATCATTCTGAAATAACTGTATATGCCCCCTGAGGGCTTTGATTGGTAAATAATCATCTTATTATTATTATATATGTAATTAAGTAGATAGGACTGAGGTTTAAATATTCAAAATTTGAAAAGAGAGGCATTTATGTATCAGAAAGATACATTTTATTAAGTGTAAAGAGAAACAAATTACTGATCTAAATACATTATACAGAAGAAATAGAGACTTGTTATTGATGTAGATAATTCTAGTACAATGTTGTAATTTACAGAGAAATCTCCCTGACTGAGGAATTCAACACTGGATTCTGTTATGGAGTTAAACCACAGGATGAAGATGAAATAAATGTCTGCTCTAAATGATGTCTAGATTTGTGTTACAGAAATCTGTCAGAGTGACAGGTGTTAGTCGTGGTGGTCACATTTCCCGTGTATCGTCAGACCGGTTCTGGATCAGTTATTATAACAATCTCATCTTGACAAACACAGCAGGGGATAAACTACATCATCTGACAGATATAAGTAGTATATGGGGAGTACACACTGTGAACAATGACGGTGATTTAATTTATATAGACAGTGACTATAACATCAACAAACTGTCTACAGATAACAAGATAAAGACTAAATTAATAAAGTACAACACAGCACCATGGGTACAAGTGTGTCTACAGCTCCCCCTCCAATGGAGACCTGCTGGTCGGGATGTATAACACTGATACAAATATAGAAGCCAAGGTAGTGCGGTATAACTCCACAGGAGAACACATCCAGACCATACAGTACAACAACAACACAGGTCAGAGATTGTACAGATCACCTAGCTACATCACAGAGAACAGCAATGGAGATGTTATTGTGTCTGACTGGTCCCGTGGTGTAGTGGTGACAGATGGTCGTGGTAAACATCGTTTCTCCTACAGAAGACCTCCATCAGGATCAGAACTATTTCCAAGTGGAATCTGTACAGACGCACTGTCACACATCCTGGTGTGTGATTATAACACCCACACAGTTCAGATATTAGACCAAAATGGTAAATTTCTGTCACAGATACAGACTTTAGAGCACGGGATAGACGAATCATGCTGCCTTAGTTATGATAATTACACACATCTACTGTGGGTAGGCTCAGAAAACAACAGCACAGTAAACATATACCGTGTGATATACGAGGATTCTCTAACAGGTAAGTCACACATTACTTTATTTGTTATGTGTTGTATATAAAAAAAAATCATGTGTGTACATACTAATAACCACCGTTAAAGATTATACCCGGGAGTCAGTTACAATGACTATAGTCATTCTATTATGTGTAATTATATTACAATTACATTTTGTTGTAATCATAAATATAGTCTGATAATTAATTTCATGTTAATAATCTAAAATGAATGTGAAAGAATAATATAGTATAAGATGTGATAGAAAGAATAAAATAACTATGGTTACATTAAGAGTGTGTATATATTCAGTTGCTTATGACAAGCGTGTAGAATGAAGAATCCATAATATTGGGCCTGGGTTGGAGGAGGGGTTAGAGTGTTCTAGTCACCAGCACTAGTTATTTATAACTCTTCATCAGATTTCTCCATTACATACACGTATAATATAAAATAAAGAAGCTTATGTTTATTGCTTGACTCCACGAGCGTCAGGCAGTATAAGGAACAATTTTTCCACGGTCCGAAACTAAGAGATCATACTAAGTGAACTAGATTTTGTGCCAGCTGATTTACATCGAAATTTGTTTCCTTTATTTTAACAAAAAAAAAAAATAGCTTGCAGAAGAAAGAATGATTCATATGACAGAAGCAAAAAATTGATTTCAATTTTTTTGTTTGCATGCACCTGTATATTCTTTGTGATACCATACACGTTCGTGTCCCTGTAACAGTTTTTCTGCGTTTCTAAACTATTGGATTAGTCTATTTGTCTTCTACGGAAGGGGTGCCACAATCATTTCGAGGCAAATGTCCCGAATAAATTACCTTTGCGCCTTTTTCGTGGATTCTTCTATTGAAAGGGTATGATAATTTCCATGAAATTAAATAGTTTGTTTTTAAAAACCTCATTCTTAGGGTTCAGATTGTTATCTACAAATTTTCTCTCTTTTTTTCAATAACACCATAACATAGCAAAGGATGTATCTATATGAGTAAAATTCTCGAATGGAACGTGACAAAATATATAATCAATCGATCATTCAATTTTGTTTTCAGACATATATTTCTGATTTTTTTCCCCCACATGAATAAGGGAAATTTTGTGCAGTTTTACTTCATAATGATAATTTTTTTGTCAACATTTGGCTAACTGGTTTTGACATATTTTGCCCTGCATCTAACATTGTGGAAATTTCACCATGCTCGCATATACATATATGTCCTTACTTCTTAAACAGGCCCTCAGTACGCGGGAGGGGGGTGTTTTTTTTTTTTTTTTTTTTTTTTTTTTTTTTTTTTTTTTTGGTTTTGTTTGTTTGTTTGTTTTTTTTTTTTTTTTTTTTTTTTGCGATTAGTCTTTTCAATATATATATAGCATGTATAGTTTTACTATGTAAATTGTCATTTTGAAGCTGCTTTCCTCTAACCCCTCCACTTTCTGTTGTTGTACGGTTGAAGGCAAATTTCAGCATATAAAAAAATGTTCCGAGTGAAAGTGAAAAATGAACGAAAAAATATTCCAGATCTTTCTGCCACGTTCAGGACTCTTTGTACTACTATTCGTAGAGACTGTTCCGGTATTGTTTGCCAACGGATTTGGCTACAACAACAACAACAGGAGTCGGCAATTTTGTCAATAAATTGAAAATAAATGATAAACGGGCATAAATCCTACCAGTGAGCTTCGCGAGAGTAGCGAGCGAAGCGACAGGATGGCAACGAGTTTTCTCGATTTTCTCTAATTCGCTATCCAACCAACATCAAACACCAGATATCAACTCCGTAGTGTCCATTAATCAATTCCTGACATTTTACCATTCAACTGTTATAGCCAGTATTTTAGTGTTAATATGTGTTTGTAAATATTTAAGTATAATATTAATTAATATAATTCATTTCAGGTTTAAACTAGTTATTATAAATAAAATTATTGTGATACTAGAATGATTTGTGCTTTTGTTATTAATAAGTTTTATAAGAATTACATTTATTTAGAGAGTATGCTATTTATATCTACAGACGACCTGGGACTGTATGACCTTAGTATTTAAATTTTAGGGTTCATTGCACCGCAGGTAGTTCGATTAGCTTACCTGGTTTGGCGGGTTTTCACTTTCCCGGTGGCACAAGTTCGTGCTACATGTATAATTGCCAGGGCAGGGTCAGTTTCACATTTAGTTTTCCTATGTATTAAAATCTACTTGGATCAAAGGTAATTATTTTTTTATTTTAATTTAATGTAGGTTTAATTTTTTTTAAAAGTATTTGTTTAGGTAATATTTTCATTTTCATTATTTAGGAGTTCGAGAGCTAGAGTAATGTATTGTGTGCACACTGAGTTAATTGATTAACTGTACTCAGATAAATTTAGTATCTTTTCAGTAATTCTTATTTATTAAAGTTTTAAATAGTAATATATAATACGAGAAAGTCAATTTTCGTGTTTCTGAACAAATTTTAACCATATCGGAAAAATTAAAATAGACCCTACGTTTTATATGCAGGATATTGCCCTTATAATGCCTGAATAATATTAGAAGTACATACAGTATATAGTAAACCTTTACACCTCATGTGAGGTAAGATTGTGTGTATTTGTTTGTTTTGTCTTTATGTATGTCATGTCTATGTTCTGCATGTTTCATGTTGTGGACGTACTATTTTTTTTTATGTGTGTTTTATTTGGATTTTCGTTTCGTTTCATTTCATTTCTTTGGAAATCATATATCATTGATTAATTTTTTTTATCATAGATTATCTGTAATTATTATTTATTTTCTCAATTAAGAAGTTAACTGACTTTAATAGATAATTGTAAACAGCAGCAAGTAAATTGTAAAGTAATTCTTGGCTAAAGTGTGCGGTATAAATTTCATTTTATTTTGTTACTAATTTGACCATTTTATCCACAGGGTTATTCATGTACAATTTAATGAATAAAATATCCTAAACTCCAAAAGGACTCATTCCTCTATACCGGATACCCGGTCACACAACTACCCTACACTATCATTTTAATCGCACTTTTTCACATCTAGTTTATAACCAGCGGCCATTGACAATTCTGCGTGACATCACCTACACCGCTTTCAAAGGTAATCTTTACTTTTCAACTAAAGATGAACTTTAAAATTTTATCTGTTAATTGTCAGGGTTTAGGGGATATCAACAAACGCCGAGATGTTTTTAACTTTTTAAAAGGACTAAATTATAAAATATACTGTTTACAAGACACATATTTTACACTTAACTCTGAGAGTGATGTTCAAAATTTATGGGGTTTTGATTGTTATTTTAGCTCATTCTCCTCAAATTCAAGGGGTGTAGCCATTGTCGTAAATAATAAGTTTGATATACAAATTTTAAAACAAAAAGGGGATGCTGATGGAAACTATCTCTTTTTAGAATTTAAAACTGATGAAAAAAATTACTTCTTTGTAATATTTATGGCCCCAATAATGATAATCCAGCCTTCTATGAAGACATACAAAATTGTATGATGATTTTAATTGTGAAAGTGTCATTATGTGTGGTGACTTCAACCTTGTTTTGAACCCAGACATTGATTATTATAATTACAAACATATAAATAATCCAAATGCAAGGCAGAAGATTCTTGATTTTATGGAAGATGGTGGTTATATTGATATCTTCAGACAGTTCCATCCAGACATTCAATGATATACATGGAGGGAAAAAAAATCCACTAAAACAAAGCAGGCTTGATTTCTTTCTGATCTCTGAAAATCTATTGCCAAGTGCAATAGGATGTACAATTGAAACAAGTTATAGGTCTGATCATTCCATGATTAGTTTATCTTTATCTTTTAATGATTTTAAGAAAGGTGAAGGTCTTTGGAAATTTAATAATTCCCTTCTGAGTGATGAGAATTTTCTTTATACTACAAATGAAGTAATTGAGAATGTTAAAAAACAGTATGCTGTACCTGTATATTTAATGGAAAACTTGCAACAAGTTAACGATGAAGAATTAACTTTTACAATAAATGACCAATTGTTTTTAGAAACCCTTCTCATGGAAATAAGAGGAAAATGTATTTCCTACGCTTCATACAAAAAGAAACTAACAAAACTAAAAGAAGAAAAACTTGTAGAAGAAATAAAACACCTTGAAGAAACAATACGTACTACTGCTGACAATGTTGAAACTTTAGAAGAAAAAAATAAGGAATTAGAAGATATAAGAAGACAAAAGATGAGGGGTGTTTTAATAAGATCTAGGGCAAGATGGGTAGAAGAAGGGGAAAAACCATCACATTACTTTTGCAACTTAGAGAACAGAAATTTTACAAGCAAGATCATTCCAAAAGTAGAAACAGAAAATGGTAACATTATTTATAAGCAGGCCGAAATACTGAATGAAGCCAAAAAATATTATGAAAACTGATATAGAGATATAGATAATTCTATAAATGACATCAATCTTGATGACGAATATTGTTATATATGAAATCAAACAAATCGCCAGGATCAGATGGGTTTACATCAGAGTTTTTTTTAAGGTATTTTGGAAATCCGTTGGTATTTTTGTTGTAAGGTCCATTAACTATGCTTATGAAAACAATACTTTAAGTATCACGCAAAGACATGGTATTATTACTTGTATACCGAAAGGTGATAAACCCAGACAACTTGTAAAAAATTGGAGACCTATCTATTTACTAAATACTGATTATAAAATCGCATCCGGCTCAATTGCTAATAGAATGAAAAAATACCTTGATAAAATTGTTCATCGAGATCAAACTGGTTTCAAACAAGGAAGAAATATTTCTGAAAATATAAGACTGATATATGATATCATGCAATTTACAGAGGAAGAACATATACCAGGACTTTTACTCCTGGTAGATTTTGAAAAAGCTTCTGATTCCTTGTCTTGGTCTTTTATACAGAAATCCCTCAATTTTTTTTTATTTTAGTAATTCCATTAGAAAATGGGTTGAGATTTTTTGCACAAATATTACAGCTGCTGTTAATCAAGGAGGAAATCTATCACAGTCTTTTAACTTACACAGAGGCTGCCGTCAAGGAGACCCTTTGTCTCCATATTTAATCCTCATTTGTGCAGAAATCCTTGCAATCAGCATAAGAAACAATAAAGATATAAAAGGGATTCAGTTTATGAATACTGAAAAAAAAATTAACTATGTTGGCAGATGATACTTCTCTGATATTAGATGAAAGTGAAAAATCACTTCAATCTAGTCTCACTACTCTTAAAAAATTTGCAGACATGTCAGTTCTGCATATAAATTATAGTAAAGGTAGCAATGATACTCTGTGTACAGATAATATGTTAGAGTGGGAAAAGAAACTTTTAAATTATTAGGCATTGAATTTGATACAAATCTTCAAAATATATTTATGCTTAATTATGCATCTAAAATTGGTGGTATAAAAAAAATCAATACAACACTGGAATAAGAGAAATTTAACTCCTCTTGGTCGTTTGACAGTTTTAAAAACCCTTTTACTGCCGACCTTAAATCATATTTTTGCATCTCTCCCAAATCCCTCTGAAATACAAATAAAAGAATACATTTGTAATGGGTAGTAATAATTCAAGACTGAAAAGGAAAATTTGTATAATGAATTATAAGGAAGGGGGCTTCAAGATGATCAGTGTAAGAGGGTTCATTATGTCTTTAAAACTAGTATGGATGAAAAAATTGTTACTACAGGACAATGGGTTGGATTCTTTTTTAGATGTTGACATTAAAAAAGTTGTATACTGTGGGCAAGAGTATGTTGTCGAGAAAAAGAATGATTTAAAAAATATTTTGGAGGGATGTGTTGCAAGCATGGTTAAGCTTTTATGACAAATCCTTACAAAATGACACACTTCTTTCTTTAGAACCATTATTTCTAAACAAAAATTTAATTATTAATAAAAAGTCATTTTTTCTATAGGAGATGGTTTTCATGTAATATTTCATGTATTAGTGATATACTTTATGAAGATGGGTCATTTATGAGTTTGAATGACCTGCATGCAAAATATGGGATAAAAACACATTTTGTTGAATATAATGGCATTAAAGCAGCAATATTAGAGCTATAGCAGCTGAGAAAGATAAACAGAGATCCTAATAATTTATTAAAGGTAACTTATCCATATATTCCAGTGAATGTTAATTCTCTGCTGAATGCTAAAAAATCGCATGGTTTTTAATGATTTTTAATCAGACAAATAAGTGAACCTTTGGGTAAAACCTCTTAGAATAGAGTCTTTGACTTGAGCAGTAGTAAATGGGAGAAATTTTTTTTTACTCCCATTCAAATTCTCTCTCAAATCTCTCTCTCTCTCTCTCTCTTACCCATCATAACCGACTTGTGAGGAATTGGACGCCTGGAATATAATGTGGGGAAAGTGTTTTCCTAATATGTTTTTATTTCAATAATGGACAATTATTATAGAAAATACCTCTTTTGTTGCTTTCTCTCCTTTCTTATCTTAAAAATAACCTATCTGTCGTTTCAGTATGTATTCGAAAATTATGGGGAATGTTTTTTATCATTCATTTTTATGGGGAACGTCATCAGAACTCCTCTGGATTTACTATTAAATTAAAACAATATCACTCTTAATTTTTACGTGTATTTTTCTCTACACCTTCCGCTAATTCATGGTTACAATTCAATATACACATAAAACATTTCGATTTATCGCCATTTAATAGCCTATAATATTGAATGTACACTGCATACATGTCAACCTCATTGAGTCATTCTCTCGACCTTCGATATGACGTCACAGCATATGCACATCGTTACGTCGAACATCGAGCCCGATTCAACGTATTGATAATTGATTTTGTTCTTTGATATTTATATTTTTAAACGTTATCATGGTTATCCATTAAAAACATGTTTGCACCTAGATATTATTTTAGTTACGCAATGTTGCTTTAAGTTTTTTTGAAGAACGTAATTCCCTTAATGACTAATAAGACTGAAATATTACCAGAAAAAAAATCTGTGATTTCAATTTTGTACTATGTAATTATGCTTTAATCAAATTTTTTCCCATCGCAATTATAAAATGCAAAAATATTGATTTTTTTCTCTTTAATAATTACATTGAAATAGCAAATTACAATTTTACAGTGAAAAAAAAATTACAGTTTATATTGCATCAACTATAACTCCCGATCGGCTTTAGGTGCCCCATTTTGACTTACCGGTAATTGTTTTTAAACTAGGTTTTATTAAATTTAGAGGGCACAAGCATATAGTATCTATGTTTACTATAGTAATCTATATATCTATATATCGGCAAAATTATTGTGCCCCCCCCCCCCCTTTCCGGTTCCTACGGCCATGAAATGACATGCTTGTTTTCAGTCCACGCGTGGGATTTTCACTTTTCATAAAACATGTTGATTGGCTATCAGAGAGTTAAAATGCTCGTGCATTAACGAAACAGGCTTCGTTTCAAGTACAATTTATTAACCCAAACCAAAATATTGGTACAAGGGGTATATTAACACCATGTTTATCTTTTATGCATACTGGACATAAATTCCCAAATTACACAATTCTTTAATATTCTGTGTACTAAGTAATTGTACTAAGTTGAAGACGCTTGGTCTTCGGGAGTAGAAGCTTTCTTATGGAATTTTGTCTTAATGTACTATAATGTGGACATTTTAAAACGAATTCTATGTCCCCTTATTCACAAAGATGGTATATTCTATCATTTCTCGAAATTCTGTTATATCTTCCTTGTTCAATCATTAACTTATGTGCAGAGAGTCTTAATCTTATTAGTACTCTATATTTTAAATGTATCAGTTTACATAAATAAGATGGGGGGGGGGGGGGTAAAATTATCACCAAGGTGTTGGTAAATGAGACATTTTGGTGATTTACATAAAGGACGAGGGCGCTATTGATTGGCATTCGGCAGGAATCTGTGCGCACTTGAAAAGCGAAAATTTCATTGATCTGTCACATGAAATTTTAGCCTTCTTTTGATATATCGGGTTCTTGTGAAATAGGAAAGAGAAATATTTTTTTTCCGATATTGTATTTTGATTTGCTATAAAAGAACTTGAAAATTAGCTAGATTAGTCATTTGGAACAAAATGTTACATTTTAAAACACGTTTTTCTAAAAATTTACTATCTCTTGGTCATCTCTCCATGATTTTGAAACGTTATTTGTGTGCATTTTAACATTTTAATTCAAAGAAACTAACAAACATTTGTATTAAAAAAAAAAAAAAAAAAAAAAAAAAAAATGGAGATAAGACCCAGAGAAGATAAAAAAAATTTAAGAAAAATTCGAGAAAAATTCTAATGTGTAAATGCGGTGCTTCATTGTCGTTTTAAATACCAAATAATATGTGTAACGCTGATACATAATGTAGCTCAGTAGTATGCATTATCCGTCCAGTGCAATGAAAAAGAAATATTTTTGGTTCGATCCTCGCTTGGAGCGTTAATATTTTTTTTGGTACAAACAATCAATTCTTTAGTCAGTTTAATTTTATGTAATGATTTATTTTAAAATAAATTCTGGCTCTGTTGTACCGAAAGCGAAAGCAATTCTTCCAACCTACTGATACTTTAACATACACATGTACTTGTAATTGCATCTAAATATACCCTATATGTAGGTGTTCATTATTTATATGAAGCGTTACTAAGTTATACATGTATATGTAGTAATTATTAAGATAAGCGGACTGATGTATTAAATCTGACAAAGCATTTCAAACTCAATCTAACATTTTCCCATGTGCGTAACTTTGTAAACTATGTCCAGCTGTGGTCAGCCGACCAAATCGTAGACATTTTAAATGTACCAGCAAGATCACACGCCAAACACGCCCATCTTCTTTGACATAGTGTTTTGATATATTCATAACACTTTCTCTGATATACAGTATCAATGGTGTTACTCTTATACAATTACTATCATCCAATAGAATCAATAGGAGAATTTTTCGGGAGGTGGGGGTGGGGGAGGGTTTATACTCACATTCAAAGAATCCAGCTCAACTCCAGCTTCTTAATACATAAGATAATGCGCAAACAAAAAAAATCAGTAATTCGTTCGCAAAGGGGGGGGGGGGGGTGTCTTCTCATGGACAACTCGCCTTTCCTGCATATTACATGCATCTTACCAAGTTACGATATGCTTCGTGATTTAATGGGATGGTGGGGGGGGGGGGGGTTGTATTTCGTTTTTTTTTTTTTTTTTGAGGGTGGAAAGAAATTAATTTTGAAAGAATAACGGGTAGAGTTAGTTAATCAATGCATGTAATGCAAATACATATGTATATATTTGTTTAACTACAACAAACGAGAAATAATCAATATTTGTTTGATTATCGGTATCGTTCACAGTGGGGATATTTTACTAATTCATTTTCTGTAG